ACCCCACACGGAGTTTAACATCATCTTGGCCAGCGTACGCAGTCCGGGATTTTTCTCGATCTTTTCCGGGTCCAATTCGATCCCCTCTTTGTCTCTGTAATCGTCCAAGTGTTGTTGACGTTTCAGGGAATCGTTGCCCACATCACTCGGCCACCCACTGGCCTCTTCCTTGATCTTGAGCCACATGTTCACGTAGTCTTTGAAGAGCCCTCTGTGAGTGGTCGGGAAATGCCACACTTCGTGTATGCAGACGACTGTGTATCCCTTCTCAATAGCCTTGAGGAGTTCTGGTGTGCACCAGGTCCCTACAAGTTGGCGTTCCGAATCTGTGTGAGTACAGACAGGAGTACGCTCCAGAAAGGGTTTGGACATTTCCTCGGTCACGCAGGAGGCACAGAGCGGAAAGGTGAGTTTGCCGGCGTGACGGTAAGGTAGCACGGGATGGAAGAGACCATGGGGTGGAAGCACCGTGCATTTATGCAGTAAGTCGAGTTTGACCTGCGTGCAACGGTACACATCGTCAAAGCACCTATTGTCGAGGCAGCGGTGGGATTTGGTGCGATTGGAATAGCAGACCGGACAACCATGCCAAAAGCAGCCTTGGAACTTGTAGACAGTGATGGTTTTCTCATGGTATCTGTCTACCGTGTACCGAGAATGAGGAATCTGGTACTCGCCAGAATTGCCCGCATGTCGGATGTAATTGTCTTCATCCAGTAACTGGTACTATTGCCAGTGGAGCCATTCCAGGGCGACGCGAGAATGATTGGTGTTCAAGCGCCAGCCGTAGAGCGGTTTGTTGGCGATCATGCAGCTTCCATGCGGTTCTGACGGAGATCCCAGTTGCAAGCAGAAGCAATGGTGATGTGGGAAAAGGGATTGAAGCAAGCCAGAGGCTCAAATACGGACTTGAAGGAGAGACACCCCTGCTTGAGGAGTTTGATGTCAGATTTGCAGTATTCAGTCAAGTCCTTTTGGAAGTCGTAGATGACGTTGGCCGCACATTGTTGAGTATGCCACGCCTCAAAGTCCCCTCGCGCAGATACAGACATGACGTCTGGCATGAAGTAGGAAGTGTCAGGAATGCGTCCGACGTAGGATTGATTAGAAAGGGTGTTGGATTTGGAACGTGACGTCCCGTGTCCTGCATGACCTCCACATCGAAGAATACGTGTAACAGAGGTTTTTCGTCATTGAGGTCGACACCATCCGCAGGAGGTAAAGGAAGAAGAGAAGTGGAGGGCACATCGTCCTCGTTGGAGTGCACAGTGGCCAAGCGGGCAGCAGCACCACGCAGATGATGACCAGGTCTTCATTTGGCACGACGTTCTGCCCGTTCTTCCTCGGGAGTCTTAGCCACTTGAATGAAGCACTGATGCGACAAGGCTTCGACGTAATGGTGACACGAAGGACACGTGACGTAGCCACACCGGTGTTCTTGTTGCTGTTTGCGACCCACAAGGAGTTTGCGACAGTTGCCGCACTTCCTACGACTCATACAGACGCTCAGTTGCTGGTGATCTGCGGTCTTCCCACTCTGTGTCTTAGACACGTGATTGGTGAAACACGCTGTCCCATAGAACATAAATCTACATAAATCGGAGGTCTGCACTGCCGGGAGACTTCGGCATTGGGCCTCGGTGTAATCTGGACATCCAGTCTGGAGACAGGCACTGCAGTGGTCCAGGTTGTTGTCACAGGCATGGTGACCTTGGTTGTAGTAGGGTTTGAGACACCTTGCGCAGAAGTAAGAGGTGCCAAAGAATCCGGGTAGAGAAGTGATGACATTGTAATGGAGGACAAGCTGCTTTTGTGAAGGTGGGCCAAACGATGTCACGACATACCCGCGCGTGGCATTGTAGAGAAGAATTTGATAGTCGTAGAGAGAAGGAGCAAGAGAGAAGGCTCGGAGTTCGACGTACCCACATGGACCTCGGGGAACTCTCGTTTCGTGATGAAGGTCTACTGCATGTTCTGCTTGGATCCTTCTGCCTCTTTTAAACCCATCCCAGTTGGGGTGTTGGTCAAGTCTGGCTTTGGCCGTGACAATGGCTCTGGTGCAACAAAGCTCATCTCCGTTCTTTGGGTAGTGAATACCTGAGGGTTTCAGTTGTGATCAAACCTGAGCTCTCTTGGGTAGTGTATACCTGAGAGTTTCAGTTTGTTGACCAAACCTGAGCTCTCTTGGATAGTGTACATCTGAGGGTTTCAGTTGTTCACCAAACCTGTTAACTCTTGGGTATTGTATACCTGAGTATAACACATAAGATTTTCCTCTCCGTTGAGACTGTCACCTTGCCGTGGTGGAGGGGCTTGATTGTCTCAATGATCCTTTGACCCATAACTGACAGCGGATGCCTCGACCTTCAGTCTAGGTCAAGGGAGAGAGTCCAGGCAAAGAGCAGTCTCCTGATATTAATTAGACTGACTTAAGTGTGACAATCTTTCATGCCCTCCTGAGTAGTGTATACCTGAGGGTTAGTTTAACCTCTTCTATACC